GTGGAGAAAAATGCAAATGCCCAGAGTGGACGACCTTGTGTTCCTTTTCTAGCAGCTCTAGAACAGCCTCTTCAGAAATAGAATCAATACCACCCATGATACGAAACTACAAACCCGCTCACGTGTGCTCGTTCAACTTCACCCCTTCGTGCGACTCGCAGAAGAAAATAGGACTGTTCAATCAAATACAGCTTTTCGACAACAGTCTACTACTAGAGGAGCTCACCATCACCATCAAGGACTACGTCGACGAAAACGATTTCGTATGCATCGATCGGAAAGGTTGGAAAAGAAGAATTGCAAGGCGTTCGACGGGCACGTCTGCTTTCTGTCAAGAAGCATGCTTGCCGACCCAATGCGCAGGTGTTTTGTATGTATGACAACGCTCTCGCGCATAAATGACACCATGCCAAGAAACGTCATACCGTGAAAGCGTGGGGAACAATCACCAAAACATACTACGGATTTCCAAAAGTTCCCAAAGTTGCGCTTCCATCGAACTCAGAAAAGAGAAGCGTTTTCGGATCACGAGAAAGTGCAGAATCGACCACAATTCAAACACGGCACCGATTTCGACGCAATGCATTGAAGGAGGGATTCTCGTAAACAGCAGTTTCCACAATGATATAACCGAGATATGCATTGGACAATATTGCACTTTCCTCCAGAAGATCACTTCCCAGGAAGTAATATTCCCGAACTCCCTCATATCGTACAACTACGACGTCTCTGTCAGAACATGGAACAAGGGGAAAATCACCGAGGAAGTCGTAATCTCCTGCAAAGCGCACCCAATATGTGAAACGTTACATTGTTTCCTCTGCTGGGAACACCTATACAACACACAGTGCTGGACCATTCTTCAGATAATCAGTACAGCACTTCTCGTCTTCTTCGCTTTCCTTCTCCTTCCGTCACTCTACTTCCTCATGAAAGCCACAGTGCCACTCATCAGGCTCCTAATGTTCATCACCGCAAAAATCAATCCTCTGAGATTTCTTCGCGGATCGCCTCGGATACAACGGAGCCAGCTTCGCGCCTACATCAGTCGTAGAAGACGCAACCACAATCGCAGATATCTCGCAAGTCTCATGGCGATCTTACTCAGTCATTCAGTCCGCTGAAGGGTGCTCGGAAGTTTCAACACTTACGGCTCATGAAACGGTATGCCTCACCACTGAACACAGAAACCTGTACATTCAACGAAGCTACCCTCATCACCTTGCAACCGCTTCAACAGGAAAGCTGCTTAACGTTGAGGGATAAACTTGACAACCCTATTGGAATCATCTCCATCAAAGTGAATGGAATTGACTTCCAATGTCAGAAGAACGTGGAATTCTTCACCCGCGACCACAAGCTGCTCTCCGAGTCAGTTCATCGCTGTTACCATGCCGGCAGCTGTATCCCAAATGCCTGTGATAGCACAACGCCATCGGACAAAATCAAAGAATTCTCAGACACTGCGAACAATAGTCCAGGATATTCTTTCTGCTCTAGGAGCTGTGGATGCCTTTTTTGCGATGGATGCTTTTTCTGCACTCCAAGCTGTTTGTTCCATCGACTTTACGCGGTACCAACGAGCCATACTATCTACACTGTCTTTACGTGCCCAAGCTGGGAAATCGTCATCAGCGTCGACATTGTACTACAACAACAAGGTTGTGCCACGCTGGAACTCCAACCAGGACGCACAGCATCGTGGAACAACATCCGCCTCAGTCTCATCGGTAACATCGTCCCTCAATTACCGATACTGTCATCAACCTTCATGGAAACAGGAACTGACATTTCAATAGTGAAACCAGTTCATAAAGGGAAACTCGAACCTCACAGTGCAGGGCAACTACAATGTCCCACGAGAAGAGCAGCCGAGGAATTCTAATGTATCTTTCCTAGCAACGCATGCACATGCACAAAAGGCCTCCAGAAAGTATCCTGCACATGTAGCCCAGGAGATATGGAAGCCCTCATGCAAGCATCTCCTCTGCCGCAGTCGTCGAAAAATTTCATGATCTACTCACGTCAACAACGCCATACTAGCA